ATCTATCTCTGTGTGTATATATATATATTATATATATATATATATATATATATATATATATATATATATATATATATATATATATGTATGTATGTATATATATATAATATATAATATATATAATATATATAATATATATTATATAATATATATATAATATATATATATATAATATATATAATATATATATATATATATATATATATATATGTGTGTGTGTGTGTGTGTGTGTGTGTGTGTGTGTGTGTGTGTTTATTAATTTATATAGATACATATATAAATGAGAGTCGCGAAGGATACCTCTGCCCAAGCCTCTCAATATAAGGATCTCCCTGTCTCTGATTACCATGACTAAATGTTTATCGTGATCTAGATTACTTCTGGACATTTCAGCCTCCACCAAATAACGCCTCCAACAGGCTGAAGGATATACTAGGTAGTTTTTTTTTTTTTTTTTTTTTTTTTTTTTTAAGGAGGCGCCCTTGTGCACAATCTAGGGACGGTGCAATGTTCCAACAACTACCGCTATGGCCAGAGCTGTCTGTTAGCTGCCTTGAATGATGATTGCTTAGTTTCTTTCAGTGAAGCTTTAATTCATTTCCTCTTTAAATCATTCTAGGTGATGATAACGGTTCATACGCCCATGGTATTCATATCCCAAGGGCAATGATCTTGCTTTTTGTGTATGGAATAGGGGGTCATTTCAGCCTTTTTTGGGAGAAGTGGAATAGGTGAGCGAAGTTAACGTTTAGAAAAATGAGCTATTGTAGGAGCATTTTTAAGATAAATTCATAAAAGAGAAGTTAAAACTTGAGGGGGATAATACAGCCCCTGACCCCCCCTCTCCCCATTGATGCCCATGCTGTGGCCCTACAGGACACCAGCCTCTCCTGCAGCTCTAAAACCTGAACTTTCATCATGACTGCAGCCATGGGCATTGAGAAGAGCGATCCTGGTAGCCTGCCTATATATCCTTTCCACTGTATTGAAATTTGCTTATAACAACACAGTCTGACCTGCTGTACACACTGTAGTCAGGTGGCCCTCAACCAGCGAGAGACTCGGTGCCATCCGTTCATTGCGTGCGATTGCCGATGCCCGGAGAAAGGGACGTTTGCCTGGACCAGGGCAATTAAGTCTCTGGTTCCTTGAGAGGATGGTCTTTGGGTTTTCTGTGGTCTGTTCGGAGGACTAGGTTCGCTGCGCGCCTGAACCTTCTTTTGGGTCTGGGCTTTAGCTTCTGGCCTTGGGTTAGTCTCAACTCTGGGACTGCCGCCTAGGATGGAAGTAGGATGGGAGGATGAATCTTGCTATATGACAACATCACTCGGCAAGGATGTCAAGTCCCTATTAGACATGAGAGGACTCTATGACGCTCTTAGACTCCTTCTTGATCTCTTGCGGCACTTACAAGGGATGTTTGTATGAGAGAGGAGGATCCTTCTTCAAAGTATAAGAGGGAGCCTTCACCTTCTTGCTCTGCCCCAAGACATGTGCCCTAAGGGAGCAGGAACCCAAGTGCCGCCTCCTTTATGACAAAGTAAGCAAGACTGACACGTGAACCCTGGTACAGATTGCACAACTGACAGTGGTGTTCCTTTGGCCATCCTTTTATGCTTTAAGGCACACCGGTGTTGTTGCAGCTTGTTGGATATTGCCACATGGTCTTGCCCTCCGGCCCGGTAAGAACCCATGCCTGTCACTCATATCACCAAAATGATTGCAGCACATATGTCCAAGTTAATTGGGGCTACCTCTAATGTAACCAGTACCTGCCCTGGTATGAGTCTTTCATTCTGTAAGGTGGTAGTGCTTGCGGTTTTAGGATGTGACAAGATCATATTTATGCAAACGAAAGTCTTCCATCTTGGCTTGCTCATCCTGACCATTTCTCAGGACCAGCAGGACATCGAATGTAAACATTTACTCATTTATCATACTGTTGTCTTTATTTTACACGCTGCACAGGTTTTGTAACCCTTTGATCCATATTTAACTTACCTACAAGTGACAAACACGATTATATCCTTTGATAACACCAATGAAGGGCCATAAAATTACCCATCAATGTCTTGTGTTGCCTACAACTGTTATTATTTACACAAAGCTATTGTGACGTCATCTCATTCTGCTCGCCCAGCTTCGCAGGAGGAAGAGGCGGACGAGATGGGCAACTTGTCAGGACGAGATTGTAGAGGTTCCAAACAATCAAGACATCTACCCAACTGGTCTGGACGACTGGACGAGGAGTTCCGAACGCAGCAAATGTCATAATATAGATGCGTTTCTTTCCATCGATAGCTCAATACCGGTCAAAATGCAGGTAGACTGATCTTTGGAGAGGATTATCGTGCCTTCATCCTTAGCATTGATTGCAAAACTTACCTTTGGGTTTCTAGTGTTCACGCTATCTGCTAAATATTGTCGAAACCCTCAGATTTAAGGGAAATATTAAAGCTGATTAGGCAGTTTGGGATTCCAAAGGGGAGAGGAGGACCATCACCAGGATTAGTCTGTCTAGAGGAAGGAGCTGTTGCCGCCACACCACGCTGAAACGGTTCCTTTCGTGGAAGGAAGGCTAAGGGTTAGAGTGAAACTAGATGTTTTTTTTATGTGACAATATTGCAGTTTACTTAGACAAGTGATAAAAGGCTCCATTAAGGATCTGCATAGGACCCAGTTCATAGTTGTTTATATTCAGCTGTCTGGACTTACTATTGCATGTACATATATTACTATTAGATGTTCAGATCTCTCCACCGATCTTAATATGTGATTGTCATAAAAATAAATCATATTGGTCAACCTCATATTTAGCAGATATTGGTGTTTATATTTTAATTTCCTATTCTTACAATAAAGGGTATAAAACATCAAATGTGTCTTTAATATTAAGGTCTCATATAGACAATAAACTGGCAAGAGCTTAGTTTACCTTCAATTATAAACCAAACAACTTCCTTTATGCTTCCAGGATAGTTTTTCAGCTAAATTCCCAAACTTCACTATTGTTTTAATTGTCTCATGAATTTTGTATCCTTTGCTCAATAAGTACCACCAACATTGGGATTTCTCTTATCTGTAATACTATTTACCAAATAAATGAATCGACAACTAAATTAATTGTGCTACACTTCAAACTAGAGTGGCCCGCTCTAAGCAACTCCAGGATAAGGTCATTCTGGGATAAGTACCTTGATATTCAACCAGTATATTTTTTTTTTTTTTTACTGAGACATAGAGGCTTCAATCTAAAAATCTTATACTTCCCATAAATACTCAAATGATATTCACAAAAAGTGCTATCTGCTCTCAACTACTCCTAGATAAATTGAGTCTAGGTTCAGTACTTTGATATCCAACCTGTAATTTTACTTCATTACTGAGAGACCTTATGTGAAATCTAAAAAGTTAATATTAAGTAGAAAGATGTTCCCCCAAAAATCATTATTTGGCCTAATCATCACCAAACTTTTGTAACAAATATAAATAGGAATACTTCATATATTGCCAGAGTTCCTTTGTGGGAGCATCTGTCAAGCAGTACTCTTCTAACCGTACATACTTGTAACACAGAGAGTAAGTCATATAGGTGTTATGGCACTGATATCACTTAGAGCAGTGTAGGTCAGACCTTTTTCATCACATTCAAGTTTGTTTTCATTATCCAGACTGAATATCTCCTCTATTAGTGTCAGTAGAGGTTATAATTCTCTTCATTCAACTTGATTTAATTTTTCCTTCCTTTATGTTTATATTTATTAATCTGTGGATTATTCAGTTATGATATTAACTTTTACATTTTTTGCCTCCTGTTTTAATTTTGTGTTAACTGTGTGAATAAAAAATATATATATATGGATAACCACATTTTTCATTTCGTTAACAGGATCAGTTTTCAACACAAAATAAAACATATTTTCTTTCTTTAGTACTTTACAAAAAATAATTACACTGTACGAAAATGGAATTAATGCAATATTAACCATACTTTGTATAGTTAAAATGTGCATAGATCACTTTTCCAGAAATGGAATGCAGTCAAAGAGATATTTGTATGATAATCCCTGACATTCTGTTGTTAATTCTATATTTTACATTACTAGAATAAAAAAATGCTGGCAGTAAATGCTGGCAGTAAGTTTGCTTTTGAAGGACCAAAACTTAAGTAGTTAGAGTGGTACTTTAGCCATGTTCAGAAAAAAGGTGATGAACAATGTTAATGATTAAATGGTTTTGCATAAATTATATTTAAAGTGTAACATGGAATTGGAATGAACTTTTGGATGACCATTAAAACTATAAAAATGCTTTCTTTTATCTTAGCAAACTCTCTTCAGTAGAATGAACATGGATGGCTGCATAGGAATAAATATGATATCAAAGTATACCTATTGTAGTTAATGTGCCTTAACCCCAAGCTGCCAGGCATGGCATGCACATAAATGCCATTGACCATTGTGGGTGTTGAATTTAGCAATTGTTTTTACATACAGATAGGTTCACAAGTACTAAGACACCAATGAGCCAATTAGAGAACTACCTGTCACACCTTTTACCTTTTTCCTTGATTTTCGATAATATTTTCTAATTGATAATACTGCTGTCAGTAATGTCAGTAACAATATAGTAATTATAATGTGTATAATAAAAATAACAGTGTCAATAATGATATCATTAGTAAAAAAAAAAGTTTCCTGCTCTTTCAAGGAAAATTGAGTCGCAAGATCTACTAATTGACTCCTATGTGGCTAAGCATTGGCAGAGCCATCTATGTGCAGAAACATTTAACCAAGCATTGCCAAAGGGAACACACTATTTTCCCGTCGACATTGGATTAAACCTTTTTTTTCATGCGAAATCCTTTGCTGAACATTAGATTGATCTTTCAATTTTCCATGATTAAAAAGGCTTCCTTCACAGAGGTTGAAAAATATGTGATTTCAGTGATTGTTGGTTGGCGACTTTACGATGCAAATCCGAAGTTTGCCAGGAGGAAAGCATACTTTAGTTATGTGTCCTATTTACCTGTATGGGATTAGCATTTATTCCACCTTTTACATAAAGAAGTTTGTAGAGGCCTCGTGATTGTACTCGGCCAAATATATTTCATAATATGGAATTACAGTTTGTAGTACTGCCCAGTCAATTTTCAGACAAATAAGAAGAATATTTCTCAAGCAGTTTCATAATTGAACACTAAGCAGAATTAAATTATACATTTTTTCACTTTAAAAATCCCACTAAATCTAAATAATGCTATGCTGTCCAATATTATCGGTAGTTTAGTATAGATGAATCTACAGATAGAACTTTATGAGATCTGAAATAATACTGACATGTCTGAAATCAGTCTGAGCTATTGGTCATTTGGGACTTCCAATCTAACTTCAGTAGCACTTACAAGGTCACTAATAATCTTTTTCTTCTCTAATTAAATTCCCTCCCCCATTATACTCATGAATCAGCAGGTCTTTGATAGCCCAATTCTATTCCTTCCCCCCCCTTAAAATCCAACACACTCAAATTTTGCCTTTTTTTACTACTCCCCACAATGAAATAAGAAAAGCTGCAGTTCAGAGTAATGCCACTATAAAAAGTAAATAAAAAAAACAAAAAACTCAATACTGTAATCTTATGTCTCTTCCTTTTCCAAGGGACAATCATATAAAACAAAATGTATAAAAAAAGAGAAATTTAATGATACCTACAATTGTTTACACCATTATCACAAAATGAGAAGAAGCACTATGGCACCCATTCGTCAGAGTCTTGTTCCACCTCAGTTTCACTAGATTCCCCTTGTGCCCGCCTCCTTCTTCTCCTTCTTCCTTGTGTTCTTTCCCTTCTATTCCTCTCTCTTTGTCTTCTTCTCACATTACCACCTTCACTGTTTTCACTGTCACTTTCTGCATAGCTGACAGACCTCCTATTATGGACATCTCTCTCTCTTATCTTCTTAACAACTTTCAATTTATTGGGTGCATTTTCGTCCGTCTCTATTTTTTCCTTCAGGCGGTAGGAAAAGATGGTGTACTGGTTCCCTTTATACACAACAATGTTCAAGATGTCTCTGTCCATGTGAACACTGAGTCGGTTGGTCTCAATATCCCCATCAACCGTGGTAGATATGTCCAGTTCATCAAGGAATTCATAAGAGTAACTGTCATAGAATGTAACCTTCACCAGGTGTGTACGACAGTTTTCCTAGCAAAGAGATGGAAAGAATATGAAATATCACATACCTTCATATAGTAGCACTAACTTACATAATAAAAATTAAATATTGTTTATTTCAAGCTACTGACCTAGTTATTTCTCAAAAGCAAAAAAATTCACAGAACTTGACTGAACAATACATGTATTAAGTAGCAATAATACTTTGACTCCTGTAAACTGAATCACCACTCTTGAACAATTACAATCCTCCAACTTACATCTCTTTGAGCTTCTAGAATGGCAAGAATCCTCAACTCTGTCTCAACATTGAAGGCAAGAGCTCTGTTCAGTGAATAGTCCCATTCAAACTTCGATTTCAACAGCCGCCCTGAACGGGAATACTTAGCAATGTCCTTATTCTGCCAGGAAAGAAAGCATACATATACATCATTGTTCTTTACAGTTGGCAGGAAAGATAGAAACAGTTACTTAGAACGTGCTGAGAGTAATGTGCTAAACCTTTTTCATTTACCACCTCATAGAAGGGCAAGAATAAAACTGAATGCAGGCTTTGGAAATGTTAGTATAATTATCAAATCCTTCCCCAGTTACTCATTTGTAGGTCATGCCTATCTGGAATTATTATTCCTTCTCATTTATGCCTCTTTTCTTTACATATGTTACAATTACTTTCTGCCACTTTAAGAACAGTAACTCATTCCTCCTGTTAATCTAATGACTGTGACGTACACCAGATGATGTCAATTATTATATACACATACACCTTGTCATAGTACACCTGTTTTTGGTAATGCGAGGAGAGCTACTATACTACAAGGTAGGAGCTACAGGCCCCAGTTTCCCAATGATGAACTACATATAGAAGCTTCATTCTGCAGTTATAAGGTTAATATCAATTTTCCCATGTATTTTATAACACTAACTAACCAAGTTAAATCAAAGGCACTCACCTTATCTTTTTTCCACTGGATAAGTAAATTCTTCCTCCAAATAACGCTTACCATTCCTCTCCTTGATGGCTAAAATCCTAAAAACACAAACAATAGAAAATATTATAAACTGTCTGACTTAATTATACACACCCTAGAACATATAGAGCCAATAATAACTTTTTGAAACTTCACAATCCTTTAATGCAGCATCATTAAATTCACAGCCATCTAAAGCTTACTATTATACTCACCCTGAAGTCTATATAATCATATTCCCTTTAAATAACTGTGTGATCCATTAAAGGTTCAAATATGTGGTGCCTGTTGATTACATTAGTAGATGACCTTAACTAATAAGGAAAAGGATACAACCATAATGCCCTTCTCTCAACCTTTCCAAATTGACCTAATGTGCGCTAGGTATTTAGTTAAGTATGTCTTTTAAAGGTGATAATAAAAAGTGAATGATTAAGTGATACTACAGTTTTACTTCAAATTTATTTCCTGGTACCACTTCATAATTACCATCAACAAATAAATCGAAATGAATAAATTTAATTGAATATTGAGTTCAATGGAAATCAGCCATGAGAAGCACTCTGCTAGAGAACCAATTTTGACACTGAATCCATACCTTATTGTGGATAGGTCGCCTAAATCATCAAGTTAGCTAAACTAAGGACTCCCTACCCTTGAGCAATTTGGGAGGTAGCATAGTATCTGTTCAGCAATTTCAGTCATCCTAGTACATTCCCATACCTGATGGCTTTATTTATAAAAGTATGGTAAGTATTTTCAGCTAACATTGTGGAATCTATCTCTGTACAAGGATGCAGTCTGCACTTTTTCTGCACTGTTTAGTGCAACTTAAAGAATTCATTTGAGGCCATAACAAAATGTTGACACCCAGGTTTGGGAGATGATAGGACCATCAACATGTTGACGCTCATCCACTACATTTTTTTTCCCCATTTGTTAAAATGGATATTCTTTGCTGTGACAAGCTGCCTGTGTATTTTCTTCTAAATTACCCCCTGGGTGCAAGGAACGGCCTGGAATACTATCCACAGGCAGCATGCGGGACTAAATACGGGGCAGCAAGATTGCTAAACGAGAATACTACCACAGCACAATAATCTCACAGGAGATACTGCTAACATATCTGTTGCAGGATCATTTCACTATACCTCTCTATGCATACAGCACAAAGAGATGCAGTGGGAGAGCCTGAGATGCAGGAGAGCAAGTGTTAAGTGGAATCCTATCAGTCTGAGCCAGAAAATTCAATGCAAAAGATATTACCCAATATCACTAAACTATAATTCTGGAATACCAGGGCAAAGTTCCTAAAGATATATCAGTAAGAATTTTTACATGACAATATCACATCAATTTAACAATACACATAAGAATATAAGCTTAAAAATCTTATGAACACGTACCTGATTTTTGAAGTCCTAATATGGATAAGTTTGTTTGAATCATCTGGATGAAACATTAAATAATCTGGAGACACTTGCTGTTCATTCCTGTCTTCCCACATCACTTGTCCACCTTCCAGCAATTCCTCTGAAGCAAGGTCATGAACCTGTAAGTCATGGCAGCATTGTAAAAAGGTTACTACAGATGAATCATATATATATATGGCAACTGATGACAATCTAATAACCCATAGAGTCATATTTGCCACATATATGGCTTGTTATGTCATTTATGTAAGGTGCTATTCACCATGATCATAGCATCATTTGCAAAAGCTGTCAAAATCTGGCACATTGTTTTCTAGTGTCAGTCACTGTGAGTGAGCACATATTAGCTTCTAAATCGTTATGACTGTCTGGCAAGTTTCCTCCAGTAACACCCACCATTCCATTCCTATTCCCTTTGTACTCTCTGCTCTCCTTGAGTCAGTCATACAGGCATGATTCCTGTCCCTACTTTTTTGCTGTGAATGGAGCATTAAGGATGTGAAAAGTAATTTTGAAACTCTAAGGTATATTTTATGTAGGCAAATTCACCTCTCCCCTATTCTCCCTCAAATAATTAATATTCCTTATAATGAATAACAGAACAATCTACCGTACTGATACAAAGGCTAGAGAAGAACCCACTATAAACAAAGTAAACCCATTTTTGTGTGTTATGGGTTTTCTAACACTGTATATCAAACAAACACTTCCTGATTTCTTATCATCTTTTTACTGTTCATAAAATAAGACACATGTTTTATCCCTTTCTGTAATAAATATACTTTCAATATTTCAGTTTTTTTTTATGTAACCTGCCCTACTTTTCACTTACATACAAAGAAACATCAAATGACCTAATAGCTTTGACATTTCACTGTGTGGTATGTACCTGACACATCTTCTGGGTGTAAAATTAAGGTCTTAAAATCTTGAACCAAACTTTTCCTTGCTAAACCTGAAAAATCAAACCTTAATTGCAGGCGATGGACAGGTAGGCTGGAGGTCAATCTCTACTAGAAAACACAGATGAGTAAAAAAGGAAAGTAACTATTGCTCTTACCTGCAACAGACAATCTGACATGGCTCTGATATAGGCCCATGGACAAGCACCTAAGCCAAGAATGTCCATGTGTGTGTAAGCTGCAAAGAGCAGAGGAGGTGCTTCTACTACCATATCCTTTGCATATGTTATACTGTCTGGGATGACTTGAAAATCTTTTGATGTGCTCTTCATCTGGAAAAAGAATAAGTATACATAAGACCCCACTGTATGAAATAAATACCTCCGATAACCAAATAACAAATAGATTTTTAGTACTTCCAATACAATTCTGTATTGAAAATACACAGTCAAATTATAGATAACTAGTTCTATCTATTATAAGATAAAATGGTGCATAAATTTTTAATATTAGTTTTAAAAAATATACTGCATATATAAATTTGTATAAACAGAAAAACTATGTCACAGGAGAATAACAAGTTTCAAATTTGCTCATTAATTAACACAAATCATTCTGTCCCCATTTGTTCTAAGGTATTTCCTCATAATTTTCTCTTCGTAACATCACCAGATGTTCTATGTTCTTACAGATAACATCAAAATTCATTGTCAGCATTTAGAACAATTGTAAACCTATTTTTATCCATGCCAAACACTCACCCTGATGATTTCCTGTGCATCATAAATCAAACTAAAGCTCTTTTCTGTAAGAACAAGCAAGAGGCCTTCATGAATCTCAACATCACGCATCTTCCCATACTTCTTCTTGTCCTCTTCCCCTGAAAATTATCATAACTCATATCAAATCACAATTTCCAATGTTAATAAGAAAGAAACACAGCCTCAGATCCTACAGTATCATATCATATTGCAATAATGCTACTTATACTACAATATCAATATCTAATAATTTTACACAGTTAGTCACTACTTTGCAAATAATAATAATTACATAAGTGCAATGCTAAACAACATAATTTGAAGCATCCATCTAATCCAAACATGAAAAGTAAGCAAGTAGCACTAATTCCCTTCCACCATTTCCATGTTCAGGAAAGCAAGAAGAGCTAAAATCTAGATATATTAGTAAAACAAAATAAAACAAAGAAAATCATTATAGATAATAATGAAATACAAAACTGGCTCCTTTGCATAAGAACATGAAAAGCCCTCACGACATTCTCCAGAAACACACATTGGTAACACTGTTCACAAAGTTCAGTTTTGTAACCTTAAAATTAACCAATGTTGCCTAGCACTGTTTTCCTCCTCCATATGAGGAGGAATGTATGCCATGCAGGCAATGAACAACGTTGGTACATGAACACATCCTTGCCTTATACCTGATTTCACAGGAAAGAGCTAGACTTATGCCCTGATAGCTTAACAGCATTTCCAGTATTAGCATAAAGGTTTGTGTTTTGTTGAACGTCTTCTTGGGTTCAATGTAAGCTACCAGTAGGCCATCACTGAACTCAAACAACACTCAAAATGGTTTAAAAGTCAGGATATGGCCAATTGGGAATCGGCCAGGAGTGAATCCAAATTGCTCCAGTCTTAGATGCATTTGAAGTGATCTCTGATACATTTAAGAAAGAAGAGAACAAGCACCTTGACTGGTAGGCCAAGACTTATAGTCTCAATGGTTATTGCAATTCTTTCCTTCTAGAGAGGAATGAGACATATTACAGACCCTCCTGTGAGTGAAATAACCACAATTCTTTCATGCTAAACCCACAAAAGGCCTTATCCTTGTATTCTTCATTAATGTAGAGCGCTGTCATGAATTTTGTGGTGACGACCTGGTAGCCTACAGAAACTCAAAATGTACAACTCATTACAAGCCTTTACACTGATAATGAAAGTATGGTAAAGATGGGGTATGTTGCCCTCCTTAACCACTGGCCACAGGTACCTGAACTGTCCACTGTATTTTTTGTGTTTTGTTGCACACAAATGGCCTCACAAGTGCTCAGCCAATTAGTCAATTAGCAGGCCTTTGTCACCTCACCTAATTTCCCAATTCCTTGAGCTCTGGGGGTAATGTTTTATTTTTAATGTTATTAATATTGACATTGTTATCTTCATTATTGACATCATGCTTACTATAGTGTTACTTATTAGTTTGTGCATTGTGGGGGTTTCTGCCAGTGCTATTTACATACTAAAAGCAATAAAAAAAAAGAAATCTTTCTGAAAATCAAGGAAAAGAGTAAACAGGTGAAATCAGTAGGACTTGCAATTGATTCCTTGGTGACTAAGCACTTTTGAATGTGTAAACACAATTAATATATTAAAATCAGAGTACACATGTCGTGTAAGTCATGCCATCCCAGCCAATGGGTTAATGAAATCCACAATCTATATATATTTGATACTGCTTAAACTAGATGAGCAATTCATAGCTATATACTACATTCACTGATTATAATCAAAGACAGCTTATCAGAAAGTTCTGCATAATTGTCATCATGCCATGTGTGCTAACAAAAGCTTTCAAAGGTTTTGTTACTGGTATACACACCTATATGAGTCTCAAAATGTATTTCAGCAAGGATGAAAACCAGGGTACAATACTGTAACCATAAAATTAAAATAATTTGCTAAGATTTATTTTTTAAACTGCTGGTTAATTTGTAAGAGCTGGTTAAATTTTACAAGTACTTAGAGAACTGGAATATCTGATATCATATATACTGTAATGCATATATTTATTTTACAAACTTAAAATGTATAACAATCCCTTTGATATAAAGCTTAAAGGGACTTACCTGCTTGTACTTTTTCTCTTTTCTATATCTAGTATATCAGTATTAATCTGCTATAACCTCAACTTCCCCTGCCACCACGTATCCTCACATAATGTAACTACTCAATTCTGAATTCATCAAACTCATCTTACAAGTGATGTCCATACCTTAGACACCAATTGTCTATGGTATAAGAATACAGAAGCCATATATTTCTCTTCCATATTAAAGCCGGTGAAGATTATTAGTGCATACAACATTAAGCAAGCTTAAACCCCGGCCCCCCCCACTCAGGGGGTCCACTGTACTGCATCCGCGTTCCCAATTTTTCGGGAAATGGGGGTTACTTTCGGATCTCAGTTTGGGGAAATTCCCTGAAAAATTCTTAAAATAGGGGGTCCTCTACCTATTGCTGGCCCACTCTGAAATCTGAGTTGGATCAATTTCACTTGGATTTTACATTTACAATAGACAACACGGAAATAAACAACCAGTCCATCTCGATCTGCCAAGTTCAGAAAGACTTAGGAGGGTTTTCTTAGACAAGGACATATTTTTTGAGTGAACCCCTTCATTTACAGGGGGCAGTTTACAGCCTTCCCTTCTTTTAGGGGGGATTCTGGAACAAGCATATGTGTACAGTACACCTCCTGAGTGGGGGGGCCAGTGCTTAAACTCACATGACATGGATATTTGCCACCCAGCATATGGGCAGAGTGCTTTTTGACAAGAATAGATGCCACTTAGTGTGAAAAGGTTACGGATTATTAGTTACATACACCTCCTTTGGACATATCAGAGGTAAAGCTTCACCCTAATATCACTACACTTTTTTTCTTGGTTCAGGGGACAAGATCTTTAATATCTGTAAACCAATAATTTTCTAACTGCCAATTCATTGCAGCAAATCATATAACCAATTCCTTATTTTGAAATTAGGTGCCTGACTTCACCTGGGAATACTGATCCATGAATGTTGAGTGAAGCTATAAGTCCAAAGGGATGCATCTGAAACACTTTAAAGTGAAAGAAGTACTCGGTCTGTGGTTCAATCTTGAGTTTGGGCGACTTGACAATGAGGACATCATCCATTAAACTCATCGAGAGCGTCTTGGTTTGAATCTGTCCCAGGTGAATACGGTCAAAAACTGTTCCTTTCTCCAGGTCATGACGTGTCAAAACATTTCCTTTCCGGAGAACAAAGATTACGGGCCGGTACTCTGAAATCAAAAAGCTATTAGTAGCATATATATAAGCTGGTTATTCAAGCAAAATTAACTCATAATGTAATGAATTCATAGACAAATAGCAAACAATATTGTAAAGATTTTACAAATGCTGATGAAAAATACTCTAGCAGAGTATTAGTTTCTTTTTCTCTCTAACCTTAAAAAATGTTAGTACTAACCTTGCCCTGGAATAGAAGACCTATAGACTGGATCTGGTACATCGTATACCTTGATTTCCTTTGGTCGAGGGTGCAAGTCAACTTTGTACATCTGAAGGAGGTGTCCATCACCACAAATTCTTTGCATAACACTATCCTCTATATTAGAATGAAACAAAGTATAAATTTCATTAATGTTTGAGTACCAAAAAAAATCAGTAATCAGATAATAACAAATCAAAGGCAAGCAGAACTGCAAGAGTCACATGAGCATATGCAGCTCTCATTCCATTCTGGAAGCCTGTGTTTGTTACATATTTTTGTTACACATTTTTCAATTTCAATCATCTATTTGTATTACATTCAATCAGAATTATGCATTTAACCTTCTATGATTTTTGTCATATTTCTTCCTATTTCAAGAACAATATTCTGTGCTTTTCTCATAAGCAATGGACATCAAGGCTAAATTTTGATGACTACATTTTCTTCTATAACAAAATTGTAAACACTTGAAATGAACCAACAGCGTCGTTATACTTACTCTCGAATAAACCATGGTCCTGGCAGGGTACTGATACTCATAAATGGAAAGCATATATACCTGCATTTGCGGGTTTTGTTGTCCACAAAAGATCCCCGCAAAATTCAATTGATGAACTTTCTTTTACATGCAAAAGCTGTTTCCACATTCTTCTTGGTCCAAATATACAATAACGAAGAGCCTGTAGGCTTGTCCTGTTAGGAAGGAATGTGAATATTAAAATGTGTTATCATCACATGTTTAAGAAATTTAATAAAACAGGGGCAAAGGGGATAAGGCAAGAGAACAGTGGATAATAGAGATTGAAAGAGCCAGAGAGAGGAGAAACAAAAGAGGAGAGTAGTGAGTAATGAGAGAAGAGAGGAGAAAGGTGAGAGATGAGTAGAGACAAGAGAAAAGAAAAAAAGAAAAGAGGAGAGGTGAGAGGTAAGTTGAGATAAGAGAAAAGAAAGAGGAGAGAAGAGAGAGGTCAGAGGTCAGAGAAGAGAGAGGTCAGAGGTCAGAGATGAGAGGCAGAAGGAGAAAGGAGAGAAGGGAAGAGAAATGAGAAAGGAGAGAAATGAAATGAGAGAGGAGAGAGAACAGAAATATATTAAAGAGAAGAGAGGTGAGAGGAGTGAGAAAACAGGAGAGAGGTAATTAATAAATATATATGAAAACAAATAGATCTTTTATCTTTGCTGCTCCAAAAGTAAATCTTAATTTTTTCTGACAAATCTTACACTTTGGACTTAGACTTGGACTGGTTCCTTAAGTGAAAATAATATGCCATAAGGCTATTCGCTATTAGGCAACCTACAGGTATAGCCCATGAAGCATGGATTTGTGGTCTGTGGCAGATAGGTACAGCCTTACTTGTATGTACAGATTACTTTTAATTTTACGTGTTCTTTAGAGCAACTACCTCTCCTTTTTTAATCTTCACATACTTCTTCTCTGAACATTTGCCCATGAAATATTCTCAGGTAGATTGTGAAAATTCATGAAGTGCTGTCAGTTGTCATTCCCCTGGTTTTTCTAATATACTTTATGGTGTCCCATTATGACACATTACAGGAGGATTTCTGATACTAAATATAAATGGGGATTGTAATAAACTATATATACTGAATGGTTTCTTGCAAATAAAGTCTCTTTAATAATAAGTCCAATAACTTACTTTTTCTAGGTAAATGTACACTTATACTTTTAGAGATAGACCACACAAAATCAATATGTTAATTATGGAAAATCAAGACTCTACAATTTTCAGAAAGATTCTATATCCCATCCTTGTGTCAAAAACAGAATGGTAATTGTTTAGGAAGTGACCATAACCTCCGAGATTAAGCTACAAATCCACAAACACTGAACCAAAAATCTAAGCCCCTGAGCATTTATCGCAACCTATTTTCTTCATTTATGACGTAATATTTTGTCTGCATTGATTATTTCATATCTTAGTACTATACCCTAATTCCCAACTTTAAGTCCAGTGTCTAAACTTCCCCTATCTTTGTGTGGTCATTATGTAAATATATATGAATAATATTCTCTAGACTTGAGTCTCATCCCAAGAACATCTAAATTTTAAAAACTCAAGTTATTCTGAAGACATTTCAAAACTGGCAAATCTTTACCAAGACGGACATGGGACTCCATATTCCCTTCTCCTGAGCTCATGCAGCACACTCTTGCGTCTCCTCGACTTCATGGTCCTGCTCAAGGGCCACATAACACTCAGGCCATACTCGTCCTCCTCCTCCAGGTAGGTCCTGGACGCCCAGAAATGCACTTAATTGAGCCTCCTCTGGCGTTTCCTCTTCTTGTTCATCTGTCTTCGAGTGCAGTTATCATGTTTCTGTTATAAATAGTTGCCCTGTTATCTATATCCTTTTCGTGGTTGATGGCATACAACAGGTGAACTGTCCCAAAAAATGGGGATGTTTACTCGACGTTTGAGGATCACGCAAAATAAGGCTCTGCTTGTTGTGGTTCTCGCGTTGCCGGCGAGGCGTGCTTGGTTCACATATCCCGGCTCTATTTCAGGTATATTCGTCTCCGATATAGTTTTGTGGGAAAAACCAAGCCTTAAGTGTGACTCTAATGAGAGAAGGTTAACGTGCTACGTGAGAGTAAGGGACAATTAAAATGCGAATGTGATAACGATGTGGCAACCCCGTCCGCCAGGGGCTCCTCAACTCCCATTCTCCCTCGCCGCCCTCAGTGTCACGCCAGAAACAGGAGGAGAGTGATGCTGTCTTTCTGCGGCTCGTGACCTGTTGCCTGGTCCTACTACGTCGAGGACACTTGGACTCATCTCTTTTTACTCGAGGTCGTGTCAGTTATATGTGTCACGTCACGTCGAAGAAGTAAACCCCTGAAGATGAGACGGTACGCCTCAAGGGTCCTTAAACACTGACTGAGCTTGTTTTGGCGTTACAAGTATTGATATAAACTTGCATCTCCAAGAGACCCGCTGGACATCCCCTCTGACCTTACAGCTAATAGAATATCGATCTCGGAATTCTTAATCATGAGTGGATACACGAACTCGCAGACGTGGGAGGTTAGTATGTTAATTTACTAAAAAATGAGATTGAGGAGTTGTCATTTCCATTGGGATAAATAACGTAATATAATCCAAATTATTGTTATTCTTTTGGTTGTTATTATTGCCCTTTAATATTATTTCAGTGTTGTTGTTTTTTACGTCATGCAAAGTGAAATCATGATTGATAGGCCTGCATGTTAGCTCAGATGTTGAATGAAAGAGTGTTTGGTATAGAATGAGGAAGTGTATGTCATGTTTAAATGTTGAATGGCTTTCTCGAGTACGTGGTGGCAAAGGTCAGGGGAGAAGTGGTTGTGTAGTTACATGAGAGTTTAGCTGAAATAACATACAAATCTCTTTGATTGATATCACGAGCTGTACATGTTGGTCCTTTTTGAACCCTTTATTTTTCTTTCTATGTTGCTATTTATCAGGCTTCTCTTTTTTTATGCTTTATCTCCTTCCTAAGCATCCTGTTTCCTCTCTCCTATATTCTCGCCCATTTTGACTTCCTTCTCCTGTTATCCCTCCACCCCCTTTTCCGTTTCTCCCACCTCTCTCTCTCTCTCTTCTCTTCTCTCTCTCTCTCTCTCTCTCTCTCTTCTCTCTCTCTCTCTCTCCTCTCTCTCTCTCTCTCTCTCTCTCTCTCTCTCTCTCTCTCTCTCTCTCTCCTTTCTCTCTCTCTCTCTCTCCTCTCTCTCC